GGCTGATCAGGACCTCCCATAATGCCTCCTGCTCCGCTGGGTGTGGAGGTCCTGGGGATGTACTGGCCCGTCTCTCTACCCGGCCTTGTGATGGGGTCGGTGTGGTGAGGTCAGGTCTTTTCTACCCAGAGGAACCAGAATCTGCCGCCTCTCTCCACCGCGGCCCGCTTGATGGTGGCGTATCCTTCTCTCTGTTCCTTCCTCTAGTACATGATCCTCCTTCCTAGTTTTTCTGACGCTGGGAAGGAGGTTGTGGTCCTGTGAGCAAGATGCCAGGCCTCTCACCCCCCCTATGTAGTACGCCTGTGGGTAGACGTGTGCTGCCTTTCTGGTTTCAGTCTTTTCCACTGGAATCACAAACCTGGAGGGAGTTTTTTTCCCATCCATCAACAATTTTTCCGCGCACCGGATTATAAAGCGCACCTTCAATGAACGACCTATTTTAGAACATTTTTCATATATCGGGCGCACCGCATTATAAGGCGCATAAGATACTGCAGTCAAGCGTTTGACGGCGGGTGGATGGGGGGGGATGTGGGGAGGTGGAGACGTTGCTTTCAGGGTCCGATCGATGCTGCGAGGTTCATAGCACAATACCGCCATTATTTAGGGTGACCAGACGTCCTCTTTTCCCCGGACACGTCCTCTTTTTGGGACCTAAAAAATGCGTCCGGCAGGGATTCCAAAAACATCCGGGATTTTTCTTTGTCCTGATATTTGTGTTTCTCTGGGTCTTTCACAAACTAGTTATTACGCCCTTACAAGTTTTGGAAATGGTGTCTCCCTTACGTTCCACCTTCTTCATTGGACAACCGATCTCAAACTATATCTGGCTTGTTTCTTTCACAAAATGTCATTGGCACTAAGGGTCTAGACTGAAACGCAAGTCTTTCTGTCAAGGCTCGTTTCTGCTTTGTTACTCCAAAACCCTCAGGCTTCAGAAGATATTTTAAACGTGTTTAAGCTCATTTGTATCTGTGCAAGTGAGAGGTGTCTTTGAAGCATCTGTTTTTTATCTAAATCTACTCAACAAAAACTTTAGCATTGAGCTCATCAGTGTCAGTGTCAGTGGTTAACGTACATTGCGCGTAGCGCTGTCACCATATCAAATTTTTGTTGTGCGATTATTGCACCAACATCTATTGCAATTTGCAATATTATTGCAATTTTCAGACCATTTTATGTCCCTGATAACAAAATGACAATATAATAGCATAGTAATAAAAGTATGCTACTACAAAGAACAAAGAACCTTTTATCTGTCAATAGAATCGGAACGTGAAAAAATATATCCTATATAAATAAAACCCCAAAAAAAGTGCAAGGGACACGGAGCAGGTGAAGCAATGGGTTCTAGAAAATGTGTCCAGCGGAAAGACGCACCGCGTCAGCCGGGGGCTTTAACGCGGGGCTTCGACCACCGGCAGGCCGACGCGCTTTTTCCACATTTTGTTATGTTACAGCCTTATTCCAAAATGGATTAAATTCATTATTTTCCTCAACATTCTACACACAACAACCCATAATGACAAAGTGAAAACATCACATGTACATAAGTATTCACAGCCTTTGCTCAATACTTTGTTCAAGCACCTTTGGCAGCAATTACAGCCTCAAGTCTTCTTGGGTATGATTCCACAAGCGTGACACACCTATTTCTGGGCTGGTTCTCCCGTTGTTCTTTGCAGAACCTCTCAAGTTCCATCAGGTTGGATGGGGAGCGTCGGTGCAGCCATTTTCAGATCTCCCCAGAGATGTTCAATGGGGTTCAAGTCAGGGCTCTGGCTGGGCCACTCAAGGACTTTCACAGAGTCCCGAAGTCACTCCTTTGGTATCTTGGCTGTGTGCTTCGGGTCGTTGTCCTGTTGGAAGATGAACTGTCGCCCCAGTCTGAGGTCCAGAGCGCTTTGGAGCATGTTTTCATCGAGGAGGTCTCTGTACATTGCTGCATTCATCTTTCTCTCAATCCTGACGAGTCTCCCAGTTCCTCCCGCTGAAAAACATCCCCACAGCATGATGCTGCCACCACCATGCTTCACTGTAGGGATGGTATTGGCCAGGTGATGAGCAGCGCCTGGTTTCCTGCAGACATGGTGCTTGGCATTTCAGGCCAAAGAGTTCAATCTTTGTTTCATCAGACCAGATAATGTTGTTTCTCATGGTCTGAGAGTCCTTCAGGCGGGCTGTCATGTGCTTTTTACTGAGGAGTGGCTTCCGTCTGGCCTCTCTACCAAACAGGCCTGATTTGTGGAGTGCTGCAGAGATGGTTGTCCTTCTGGAAGGTTCTCCTCTCTTCGTAGAACTACGCTGGAGCTCTGTCAGAGTGACCATCGGGTTCCTGGTCACCTCCCTGACTAAGGCCCTTCTCCCCCCATCGCTCAGTCTGGCTGGGCGGCCGACTCTAGGAAGAGTCCTGGTGGTTCCAAACTTCTTCCATTTCCGGACGATGGAGGCCACTGTGCTCATTGGG